AGTCCTAGTGTGAGTACATCCTCAAGCATGGTTCGATGTTACACACAAGCCCACACACAGAAAAGAGAGGAATGTATCACAAACCCACCTGTGTGTCCGCAACCATGAAATGCTGCTGAGATGCTGCTGCTCCTGGCTGCAACTCCGGGGAGCCTACAGGAATTGTGGCCATGGATGCTGCCGTTGTTGCCGCTGCAGCCATGGCAGCAGCTGTATTCATGTCACCTACAGGCTGCTGTGGCACAAATTCCCCTCTGGGCTGGTAAAACGCGGTCTGCGTCGTGTGCTGCGGCTCCTGCTGCACAAAGGTGCATCATCGTCGACAGGCAGACAACCGCTCTCAGATGGATAGGAACAGAAGAACACAACCAAACACAAGCACAGCACGCAAAAAAAGCAAGCAAGGCCACTGACAAAAAACAAACATATGACACAATCAACCAACCAAGAAGCACACGGAAACATGGAGCTCCCTTTTCTACCTTTTTCCTTTTTGGCTTCCTTGTGCATCATAACTGACAGGCAACCACAATCCGATGATGGGAAAAGGTTCAGAAAACAACAGAAAAGAACACACGGGTGCCAAAAGTAAAGATAAAGGTACAGCAGGGAAGATCATTGTCAAACTACCGGTAGCAATGAAGACAGAACACAGTCTACCAACCAAAACGAATATCACGTCCATAGAAAGCAAGAGCTGTACAGCCCCCTGTCACACAGCACACAGACTATTGGCCTTGCCACACACTACTCACCCAAGGCATTTTTTTTGTTCTGTGAGTCGTATGGCAAGACCTGTATCTTTCCACAGAAGCTGGCAAGGTACATGGGTTACTACAAATAGTAGCGGATGTATTTTGCCACCTTCCGTGGGAAGTTTCGCTCCCTTTTTTTCGGTTTCATCAGTAGTGTGGTGACGCCCTATGTGACCTAAGAAAACGAGCGGAAAAGAAGATAGATAGAGACAGCAATGGCAGCGATCTCCGGTAGAAAGAACACAGAGCTCTAGGTTGTCAACACAGAATCGTTGTCATCCATACTCCTAAGAGAAAGAACAACAAACTGCGCCAAATCTACTTCTTCTCTGCCACACACAAGCACAAAGCAACAACAAATGTCGCTACGTTTCCTAAAGCCCCTCCGTCAGGCCTTACACTTGACATGCACTACAACTTACTCAGTAGCAATAAATGTGTCTTTTCCCATTTTTCAATCACGTATTACTGTATTCTTTTAATCAGCCACACACAGAGGCTCACTACATCTACAATGGACTGTTGCGTTTCCCCGAATAGAACACCCAGTCATTATTGCTGTATCCAGACCGAAAGTTGCCCCAAACGCAGCTATATTATGACCATACTCTCCATTAGGAGAAGCCGGTAGTACACATGATATGATAGCGAGAACGCACAACTGTAAGTCGGCAATTTCCCGTTGACTCCCTTCATGGTAGGAAAACCTCGTCCCGAGAACCAGCCCACGGTAATTGCTGTGAACGTTCCATTGATTAAGAAAATAGAGAACAACGTATGAAAAAATGGGTGGTGTACTCTTCTTCCATGAGATCATCATAAATCTGCCACCAGGGCTAGAGAAATTTGAGCTACGAATCAAAACACCAAACACCTGTCTGAAGTTGACAAACCCTAATATGACCAATGACTCTTCAGGTGTTTGAAACTGTCAAGCTCCCAGGGAAAACAGATCTGCCATCAAGGCCTTGTTTAGATGAACGATCACACATCCCATTCCTGAAAAATGAGGGTGCTTTGCATTCGGGGGAAGACGGTAAGCCTGCTCCCCCAACCCTCCCCGTCGCCTCATTTTCAGAGCGGCTTTTGAGTTTGAGAATGCCGTCTTCACCTTCCATCGCCAAAACCCTCTTTCCCTTCTACTGCTTTCTCCTCACTCACTCACTCCAGCTTCTCCCCCCCCCCCCTCTCTCTCTCTCTCTCTCCCCGTCCAGTCTGCTATCCCCTTTCCATCATCTTTCGTTTCTTTTGCTCCGCCCTTATTGCTAGTCCCTCTCCTGCGCACAGGTTAAAGGCGATCAGGGAAAAATGAAGTGATCAGAATACATACCACATATGAATGCGCCACCGACTGAGGGTTGGCAGCCAATACCATGGACTGCATCGGAGGATAAAATGCGGGAGGAGGGGCCTGCTCCACGGGAGAAGGATTCGGCAACACAGGTTGCTGCTGCTGCTGCTGCTGTTGATGTTGCTGTTGCTGCTGTTGGGGTTGCGGTTGCTGCGATTGCGGCTGCTGCTGAACGACGGCAGGAGGCGGCGCCGGGACCTCGACGGCAACCTCAAGGTTCGCATTCTCAGCAGCAGTCCACGAAGCAGCAGCTGCCGCAGCAGCCGCTGCTGCTGCCGTCGCAGTGTCTTGATTCACAGTCTGAAGCTCTGGTATCATTGTATAATACTCCGATGACAGCACCCTGTTTAGCCGATCCTTCAGATGAGCATCTTACAAACCCCCGCCCAAGGTTCAGAGGTCCGTCAAGGAAAGCATCAAGCAACAGCGTAAAACAGATACGCGCATCACTGTCCAGGAAACCAGGCTTTTCACACCCCTTCTCCCCGCCCTGCCCCCACCGTTTCTTGAGCATCACACCAAAGAAAACCAACCACTTCATACCATTTCCTTCCGCCACCCCCGCCCCAACCCTCCCCACCGTTTTTTTAGCATCACACCACAGAAAACCAACCACTTCACACTACCCCCCCCCTTCCCTTCCATCTGCACATTTCTATGTACCATCATTGTGAAGAACATGTCATGTTCAGCAGCATAACGAGTCGTCATCATCATCATCATCATCATCATCATCATCACTAACTACCAATATCATCATCATCGCAAACTCATCCCCATCACCCACATGGCATAGAGATCAAATCATTTCCGTGGACTGCGACACTTCCTCCCACATTCTCTATGGCAATGTGGGAGGAAGTCTCTAACAGAGGTGTAGTCCCACACATCCTCCCACATTCTCGCTACCATCACGGATGTTAAAGCGGTCTCGAACAACGGGAGGACAAGAGAAGGGACAACAACAATGCAGCAATACCATGCCTATGAAAAGAAAAAGAAAAAGAAAAACAGAGCACTGGGGAACGACAGGTGTCACAATGCTCCGTCCAACATTTTGTCCACGTAGTGAGAGATGAGTAACAGCTTCGTCAATATACTCCACTCCCACTTGTCACCTATAGAAGGAATGAAAAGAGCTCTGTGATTGGATGTTCGTATGTGATTGCATGTTTGTAAATGCACTCCAGCCCCACTTATCCCCATGGAAGGAAGAAAGGAGCTCTGCAATTGTGTCTTCTTTTTCTTCTCCGTCTCCGGGATTCTATTCTCGTATCATCGGCCTTTTGTCAGCGCGATTACTGACAGCAATAAAAAAGGGAAAGAAGAGAAAATTATAACACAACATTGCAAAAAGACGGAGACATGAACGTACATATCAAGGAGACGGAATCCCAGCCACACATGGCAAAATACAACAGTACATGCATAAACATTTACTCGACGAGGATATGGATGTAAGGATAAACGAGGTAACGGAAACCGGACACGTACAACACACGTGTCAGTCAGTCCTTCCGTGTATATATAATCCTGGGTAATCGAGTCGAGTGATGCTTGCTTCTGACGGGCTATCTATCAGGACACGTAACAGTCAGTCTTCCCGTGAGGATCCATCTCCTCTTCAACAACCCTCTTCCAAATACGATCATGACAAGTCAACGTTACTGATCCAACATGACTCCACTGCCAAGCCTCGGTTGACAACGATATCCCAGCAGAGACGCTTACAACGATATACAATTACACACTCAATAGTATTTATTTCAGAGTCGGTGACAGCAAAAAAGACCACGTTTCTCAAGGCTATCGCTACCTTCAGGCAAAGCGGTGAGTCCTTGTCCACCAATCAAATCCCTCCAGGTCAGACTATCAGGGTGAGTCGGTGAAAGTCCGACAGAACAAACTCGTCACAAACACCACCTTTTTGTGAAGTGTGCAGCGAACACACACACACACACACACACACACACACACACACACACACACGCACACACACATCTACACACACACCCCTCCCATCGCTTTCTAAAACCATCCCTCCCTCTTCCCTCTTTAATCCCTACCACACTGTTCCCGTACTGATACACCACCGGTCCCACATACATACACCATCATCCACAGGGATGCGCAAGTCCTCTTGCCTTTCATTCCCTCTTCCGCACTTTCTTTCCCTATTCCTTTCCCCCGCCTTCGTTCCAACCCATCTAATCCTTCTTCCTACTCTGTTAACCCCCTACCTGACACCGTGCCGTGCTTCGTTTCTCACTCCAACATAAACGTTCCTTTAACTGTACAATCAAAAGATCAATGGAGTTCTTTGCATCCACAAGAACGACGAGCGCTATGCCGCGATCCAATCCATATCATCTTTCGCAAAAAGTGCACAACTGCCCTCAAAGCTTCTTTGCATCCCGCCAATTTGTTCTTCCCCGCAGCATCCGCACCTTGACGAGCGGCGGAGAAGGGGGGGGTGCTCTTCCCCACCGCCGCCAATCTTTGCGAGCTGCGGTCAAGGCAGGCGGAAGAGGATGATCCAAGTTTTAAGCCCATGCCCAGTATACCACCTCGTCCACGCGCGCCTGCCTCCCGTCCAGGGAAAAAAGATCCGATCCCGTTCAGAGTCTCTGGGTTACTAACGAGTTTCAGAATACACACTAGGAGGGAGGAACGGAAGAACAAGAGAGGACGAACTACAGGCGTGTAAGAACGGAAAGGGGGTGAAAAACGTTTTCGCCGCCTTGCCACGTATCATATCCCTCCGAGCCGACGCTTGCGCATATGTCCTCCTCAGAGGCAACACCCCAGGCTTGCAAAACACAGCATCGCGTCGGTTCCGCTTGTTATTGCTATTATGTTATCGTCATTATTTATTATGTTATTTCATCGTTCATTATTATTATTTTGTTGTTAATCATTATTTTTATTGCTTTCGTATCAGATATTAAATTGACCAGAACAGATACTCGTTCAAATCTTAGCCAAACTTCCCATCACCTCGTTTCAATCTCCGACAACTTACATCGCGTAGTGTCTAACGCCTGCCTGCCTTGAGGGTAAATATCAACCCGAGAACAAGGATAATTACACACGATAAATAAATAACATAATAATAAGGTAATCGATTAATCCTGGAGGGTGATAAAAGGAGTCACCGACGACGGTACTAGACAACGGCTAGAACGGTAGCGACCCCGCCACCCCCGCCAACAATGACGACGAAAACGAAAAGATAAAGACACCAAATATTCTTCGCTCGGCGTATGCATGCCCATTCTTCGCTACCCATCAATTACGAACCCTAGAAACGTAACGCAAAAAACGATACTTGCAGGGCCGAGAAGACTGGCACAACCATGAGCAGGATATATACTCCTCAGGAAAAAAAACGTGAACTCGGGATAAAAAAACAGAGAATGAAGAGATCATAAGAAAAATACATGTTAAGAGCACCATCATGGAAAACATACGTCGCGAATTTCTTTACTGCAGCGGGAGAAAGGAGTGAATGAATGTGGAAAGGCGGGAGAACGTAATATAGAGATTCTCGAGACCGTTTCCGCGGTTCTCCTGGGTTAAGGCTGCTTCTCAATTCACGTTGTCTGCTGATTTTCAATCGACTTCAATCATTGGCCGTTCGATGTTCGGTCGTGTTGATCTGTGATTGTTTTTTTTTTTTTACCTCTTTACCGCAGCATTATTTTTATTTTCCTGTTCAACAATAGTAGTAGTTACATATGAAAAAAACGAAACAACAACAAAAAAGAACGAACTCACGCCCTCCAAGTGATATATTCCAAGGTAAGATCCTCTTGTCCACTCCGCGTCTATCTGGTTTATGTAGCTGTATTCTGATGCCCGCGATCTCCTTTGTGATTCTCGAAAGCCTCTCTGCGTTATCTAGAAGAGGGGGCTCGTCCGTGACTATGGCGATTGACACCGTTTACAAAACCATTTAGGACAAATCTGATGGGTGTAAAAACGCTAATAAAAGGCTGAGAAAAACTGACTACGGCTGTTGACTGAGGGATCAGAGCTAAAAAAACAGAAGAACAAAAGGAGGAAGACAGATGAGAGAGAGCTGCTAGGATCAGGGGAGAGTCTGATGGGTGTAACCACCAGTACCTTTGACGGTTCGAAAATACTCGGCCTCCGACCTTTCAGGAGGCGGAAACGAAACGACAGCCGCCGATCAGATTAATCAACGGCAGGCGCGGACTCCTAAAAGTTCGGGTGCTGGCCACGACTTGTCGAAAATAGGCTCGAAGGTACTGGTGGTTAAACGCTAATAAAAGGCTGAGAAAAACCGACTACGGCTGTTGACTGAGGGATCAGAGCTAAAACACAGAAGAACAAAAGAGGAGGAAGACAGATGAGAGAGAGCTGCTTGGATCAGGGGAGAGTTCCTATTCAATCTCTTCGGGAGGGAGGGCGTTGATTCATTCTTCGTCATTGATTCTCTCTCTCTCTTCTAGCCAGTTCTGATCTGATGGACTTCGCGCGCATAAGGATTTTTTGTCTTTTTCTTAGTTGTAATGGATTTCAAGCGCATCCATAAGTCCTATAGATTATTTTTTTGTACATGAAAAAAATTATGTACCAACAACTGCTATCAAGCAGTTTTGCCATCGTCTACGGTATAGTTTAGATCACCCTTCGCAGTCGCATGGGCCCAAAAACCAATTCCACTACCAAGCAACAGCTCCAGTGCCAAGCAACTACCGCATCCTATTTCTATAGACAAATTTCTAGCGTAACATAGGGGTCTCTGGAGCATCCTATTTTTTCTAGAGATTTCCAGCGCAGCATCCTATTAGTATTTCTGTAGATTTCCCTTCTGCTTCCCTTTCCATGTTCTGCTCGTATGTCTCTAAGACATCTTATTATTTCTCTAGATTTCTAGCGCAGCATCTTATTTTGCATCTATTCCCTTCTGAAGCCTTTTCCATGTTCTGCTCGTATCTCTCTCTCTTCTTGCTCCTGCTCTCTCCTCCCTACTATGATTGATTACTATCTTTGGCGTTCTTGTCCCTTGTCATCATGTTTACCTCTTAACGTGGAGGTCGTGTGTTCGATCCTTGGATCCGTGCGGACGGACAGATTGTTGTCTGGAGTGAGAATGCAATTCAACTAGAGCCCTCCTTTTTCCCTTCGATTCTAGCGCGCCCGCTTTCTTCGTTCTTTCCCTTCTGACGTCTTGCCCATGTTCTCCTCGTATCTTTCCTTCCAGCTGCTTCTCTCTCCTACTTGCTGATCGACTGCCACCTTTGGCTTTATTTGTCCTCTTTTTAGATTCCACCCCCCTTCTCTCTATTTCTCCCTTCCAGAGCTTTCCTCTTCGCCCTATAGATCTTGTGCCTGTTCGGCATAT